GAGAGAAAAAAGGGTGTCCCTTCTCTTCATTCATTTACTTATTTGTTCATTCATTTACAGTGCTAGCAATTAAACCCAGGGCCTCGTGCATGCTAGTCAAGTACTCTACCACTGCGCTATATCCCAAACCCCATGGATCGTCTCTCTAAAATGACATTTCCAGGGCAGGAAAGATGGCACAGTGGTTAAGAGCACTGACTGGTCTTGTAGAGGTTTGATTCCCAGCATCCGGGTTCGATTCCCAGCATCCATATGGCAGCTAACAACCGTCTGTAACTCCTGTTCCAGGGGTATCCAATGCTCTCTTCTGACCTCTGTGGGCATTGCACAGCACAGGTGCACTCACATACATGCAGGCAATACACTCATTCACATAAAATAAAATAAAAGTTTTTTTTTTTTAAACGAAAGAAAATGTTAGATCAGGATTGACCGGGGCGATAGGAAAATGAAAGGTGAGAGGCGACCTCAGGAGCAGATGGTTCTTTATAAAGAACAATGAAGGTGGCAAGTTTCTCTGCTGGATTTGAATCTGTGCCCCAAGGCACAGTTGGTGGGCTGCTTAAAAGGGTTGGGGGATTGGGAACCAGGGAGGTGGGTAGGGCTACTGCCAGTGACACAGTTTGGAGGTTATGAGACAATAGGGGCTGTTACTTCTTTTCCCAGATAACACAGTCTCTGGGCTGGGGCTTTTACACAGTTCCTGGGTTAGAAATTAGCTCTGATCTGAGGTTTACCTAAGGTTTACTCAACCCAGTATGGGCCCTTTGGAAGTTAGCTCAGGACCCTTTCAAGTCCAGGTATTTATCCTTCAAGGACAAAGTAGCCTATGGGAGCCCACAGTCTAGCCCCACACTGCTGTTGTGTGCCCCTCACATCCTCTGTGTGAGGTGTGACATGGCTCTGGGCACTCAGATTGGAGCCTTACCTGGCTGCCTCATGCACCTCTTGCGTCCTGCTCTGCTTTGACTGTCACTGTATAGAACTGGCCAATTCTATGGGGGCAGTGGAGGAAGGAAGTTGGGAAACTCTAGCCAGGTTCACTGGCTACATCCCACAGGTGGGAAGACAGACCCAAAGGAGCTTGGAGACGCACCGAGGGCAGATGGAACCTGTTGAGCAAGCAGAAGCAGGTCCCTGACTCACAGGCCTTGCTGGTGTTTTTAGCTGCAGGTGGAGGCTGGCCCTGCTTCTCCACTCACCTCTCCCTGCATCATCTTGATTGCCTGGAGCACCCAAAGTACAAGCCCCTACCCACACTTTAGGTCAACCCTAGGAAAGCAGGCTGCCTTGGTGGGTAACCCTCAATGTCAGGTAAGGTAGCTCAGGAACCCAAGGGCCCAGGAGTTTGGCACGCTACCCTCAAGGAGCAGGTCTGGATTAGCACAGTGGTCATGGCCTTCCAGTTTCCTGCCAAGGGTCACTTCCTTCCTGGAGGAGGCAGTGGGGCAGGGCAGAGCTGACAACTTTCCCAGGAACCTTCAGCGGTGGACAGGATCTGACAAGTAAATAACCACTTAGTCAGACAGCAGGACTCTGGAGAAGTCTCCAAGCAGCAGAAGCCAGCCATACCCTTTGTGCAGAATGTTTTGTTGGCCACAGAGCCTCCAGGTGCTGATCTTTTTCCTTTATCTTTCCCACCCCAGAGGATGCTTGAGACTTTCAGCACCTCCCATTCACTTCCTGACCTGGGGCTGGCTAGACTATTTCTTCACTGGCTTTTCTGGGCTGGGGTTGAAAGGGCTCAAAATAGAGCTATGCTATCTGAAACAAGGAAGAGCAACCGTCGAGGGGTGCTGGACACTGTCTACCCAGCCTCGGCGAACCCACTGGCTCCTACTCTGGCCCTGCACTGCCCCTTCCATCTGTCTTCCAGTGACATATGGGACAGGCTTACAGGAATGTATCCTCTGAGACCTGTCTCCCCCAACCTGTGGTGAAGCCTCTAAGAACATATCTTTGAGAAAGAATTAAGAGTGGGTCCTTTAGCCATTTCTAAAGGCCCATTAAGTACTGTGTTGCCAACTGCCACAGCAATGCCATGGAACAAGCCTCCCCAAAATTTAACTGCTTGGCTCGGCTGTGGATCAATCGGCTCTGTACTGTGCATCCCAAGTCTTCTTCCTAGGAGGAACGGGAACCCAGGCATATTCATGGTAATGGCAGAGGCCCAAGGTAACCAGTAGAAGCAGGCATGGCCACTTTTTGAATCCACGTGCTGCCACTCCCACATCATTCTGTAAGCCATAGGACCTAGTCCTATTGTTTGGATTCCACTCTGCTAAAATAATTCAAATGAGGCACGCAGAGCATAGTATAGAGGACAGACAGGGTTTATTACAGAATAAAGCATTCCCCAAAAGCTGAGAGCGGTCAGTGGTCATGGGCACCATTGTACCAACCTACATTTTAGGTTGACTTTATATTATTTCTTTTTTTATTTTTTAATTTTATGTGTATATGTGTATTGCCTGCATGTAGGTAAGTGTACCCGTGTTATGGAATGCCCTCAGAGCACAGAAGAGGCTGTCGGATCCCCTGGAACTGGAGTTATAGACAGTTGCTAGCTGCCATGTGGGTGCTGGGATTCGAACCCGGGTCTTCTGCAAAAACAGTCAAGCCATCTCTCCAGCCCTGACTTTATATTATTTCTAAAGTCTGTAGAACAGACAGCTTGTCCTGAAGGGTATTTTTCATGCCCAGGTGATAAATAGGCTCATTTGGATTAACTGTAAAGGGAGGAGACAGTGGTCTTGGTTCTTTATCAGCAAGCTTCCCTAGATGGTAATCTCTCCATATGCACAAGTCCATTTTATTATATAGCTGATAAAACACTAATTCCTTTTAAGATTTGTTTATGTATGTGTGTCTGTGTGTGTGTGTGTGTGTGTGTGTGTGTGTGTGTGTGTGTGTGTCTTTTAGACAGGGTCTAGGGCCTGTCTCATAAGTGCTGGTAGGTAGGTAGGTAGGCATCGATCAATGACTTTGGGCAGTTCAGAAGGTTATATGTTCTCCACCCAGGGCCAAAGATTCAACTCAGATCCCATTCTCCCTAGAATCTTAGTTTCAGTTCCAGGTTTTACAAGCTTCTGATGAGAAAAGTGTCTATCCCCTGTGACCTTCAAGCCTGCTCATTTCTTTTAGGGGGGTGGTATTTGACTTACATCTCCCAGGTCACAGTTCATCACTAAGGGAGTCCAAGGTAGGAACTCAGGGCAGGAACCTGGAGGCAGGAGCTGAAGCACAGGCCATGGAGGAACACTGCTTACCGGCTTGCTCCTCTGGCCCATAGTCAGCCTGCTTTTTTTTTTTTAAATTTTTATTTTTTTTAATAATTTATTGAGAATTTCATACATGCGTATAAGGTGTTTTGATCAAATCCATTTTACTTTTTATTGAATTTTTGTGTATTTCATACATAATTGTCTTTATGCCCCCTTCTCCTTTGGCACCCTCCCAAATCCTCCCCCCAACTGGAGTTCATACATTCTGTCATTTGTCTTAAGGCCTGTCACATAAAGTTAGTGTCCCCAGATGTCCCTCAGTGCAAGTTCATCCACTGGGATTTATTCAGCCTATCTAGAGTCTCTCCCTTTAAGAAGATCAGCTCTTCCTCACCCAGCAGTAATCAGCTGCCAATAATTCTTCAAGCCTGCTAATTTCTAAGTAGCTACCTAACACTGTAGCTCCAAGATTCAACAGACATGAGATATATTCTGCCCTAGGGGAGGAGGTAGAAGGCATGGATAGGACAGGAGAGTGAAGAAGAGCCCAGTCACACAGCACAGCTCTCATGGCATCCTCACAATTCGTAAAGGTCTAAGCAAGCAGTGTGAGTGTGTGTGTGTGTGTGTGTGTGTGTGTGTGTGTGTGTGCGCACAACAGGTCTTTGTAAACTGTGAAGCGCTGCCTGTGTGTGCAAGTGGTAGCCATGGTGCTGTCTCGTGACTTCCCCAGGAGTCTTCTGAATCTTGAGATCATGATGCTCCTGGTCTTGATGTTCTGTCATCTTTAAAGATGAGTGATTCCTGTTTGGTACCCTAGATGAGGAGTCAGAGAGAACTTGTGAATTACCCAGTTCAACAAGTTCCTGCAGTTCAACAAGTTTCAGTCTCCTCAGATGCCTTAAGCAATTCAACCATGCCTCTCAAACAAAGAACAGGAGGGAGAGGGTTCGGGTGCCACTGTTTGTCTCTTTTCCGTCCCTGTTTAGCCAGATCTGATGACAGGTTGCAGACTCATAGTACAAATGAAGAAAATTAAGTCACAAGCTGGGCATGGTAGTACACATGGAATCTCAGGACTGAGCTGAGGCAGGATTATGAATTTAAGGCCAGCTTGGACTACACAGCGAGGCCCCATCTTACATAGACAAATTAAAAAATTAGTTCAAGGGCAAACGTACTTGAGAGTCGGTATTGTCATGAGGCATTTTTACCATCTGTATTAACTTCATACACTAGACCCCTCTCTAAAGTAAAGCCTCATTGGGGTCCAGTCCTTCATCCAGAGTTCTCAAGTACCCAGATCATCTCCTACATATAGGCTAGTTCCAGGGACTTTGCTCTACCTTGGGTAAGAATTATAGGCAACTAAAAATCTTCCCAAGAAAGCAGGTTTTTAAATGTTATGTTGTTCCAACACACACACACACACACACACACACACACACACGCACACACACACCCCTCACAAAAAAAAAAGTGTGTACAAAAAGCCCAGTTTTCAAACAGATGGAAGCAGAGCTGCTCTAACTCACGAAAGTAGTGCAGCAAGCTGAGCTGAGTCCTACCTACTCTGCCTGCTGCTTGCCGTGGGGTTTGTTATTCTAGTACTTGCCTGGGGAGGAAGAGCATCAATGATTACATATGTGAGGTCCAAGGCCCCAAGTGCTCAGAGCTCAGTGTCATCTTGGTGTGAGCCTGCTATCCTGGTAGAGGCCCTATCGTGAGCCCCACCGAGGTCTCATCTCAGAGCCCTGTGTCCCTCTTTCCTTGCAGGCAGACTCCAAGATGGTGTGTGATGTAGTGAGTCGTATGGAAGACACCGAGCCCTTCTCTGCAGAGCTGCTTTCTGCCATGATGCGACTCTGGGGTGACTCAGGGATCCAAGAGTGCTTCAACAGGTCTCGGGAGTATCAGCTCAATGATTCTGCCAAATAGTAAGTGCCCAGGCAGGTGGGAGGCTGGGAGCAGGCCAGGAGGCAGGGATGGAAGGCTGAGTGAGGGACTGGTGGGATGGGGAAGATTCTGACCGAGACCATCCCTGCTCTGAGAAACCCTGCCTCAAGTAGTGGGCATCAGGGAGGGGCAAGAAGGGCTTCACTTCCTATGCCCAGGATGAGAAAGAGGCAAGGGCAGGGAGACAGCAAAGACAGCCACACAAGGAATTCCTGGAGGGCAGGGACCTGGTCACCACTTGGGGCTGAGATATAGCTCAGATAGTACTTGCTTAGCATACGCTAGGTCCTGGATTTAACATTTAGCATGACCACAATAAATAAACTTCCTAAATATGTATGAAGATGCCATAATGAAACCCATTACTTGGTGTGTTAATTTTAAAAACAAATTTAATTTTTAAAAATATTTATTTATTATTTTTATTTTATGTGTATGAGTGTATTGCCTGCATGTATGTGAGTGCACCCTTGTCGTGCAGTGCCATGGAGGTCCAAAGAGGGCTTCGATTTCCCCTGGAACTAGAGTTAAGGATGGTTCGTAGCCGCCATGTGGGTGTTGGGAATCAAGCCTGGGTCCTCTGTAAGAGCAATCAGTGCTCTTAACCACTGAGCCATCCCTCCAGCCCCACAAATTTTATTTTTAAGAGTCTAGCTTCTAGCTTTTGTTTTATTTTTGTGTTTTGTTTTGTGAGACAGAGTCTCATATAGCCCAGGCTGGCCTCAAACTCACTTTGTAGCCAGTGATGGCCCTGAAATCCTGATCCTCCTACCTCTACCTCCCAGGTGCTGGGATTACAAGCATTTACCACCATGCCCAGCTTTCTTCTGGCTTTAAAATAAAGTATAAATAATTGGATTCGAGATACAGAATAAATTCAAATGTATCCTTCAGTGTTGTGCTATGCTAAATACAGAGGAAGAAAGGGAGAGATTGGGAAGAGAAGATGAAGAGGAGGAATGAGAGGTGGTAAAAGCCATAGCCAGACAGAAGTGGCAGAAGTGGAAAGGCAGAGGTGGTACCTCGGGTTCTTCCTGTGGTCAGGGCCACAGACCTGCCACTCTGGGGACATCCTCATTGGCTATGTGCCTTCCATTCCTACGTGGGAGGCTCTAGAGTCCTGGAATGGATGTGCCTCCTGTCATGGAGACACTGGGATTGCACCTTGGCATTGAAGAGTACCCCCTGTTTTCATAATCTGATGCCCATGCTTTCAGAAGGAGCTTGAGCAAGACTCTGCAGGCTTTAACCTACTGTCTGAGGGCACATGTGCACTGACTTGATCTGATGCAGCCACAGTGACCAGTGCTTCATTGCTGGGACCATTTTGCCTCCAAGGGACACTCAGCATTTGTGATCGTTATCACTAGGAGATACTGTTCCTAGCAGCCAGTGAGTAGAGGCCAGGGACAGTGCATAACATCTTACAATGCACAGAACAGCCTCCACAACACAGAGCTAAGTGGCCCAAAACATCAGTAGTACTGAGATTAAAAAACTATGATCGCCGGGCAAGGTGATACATACTGGCTCTCGGGATAGAGGCAGGAGAGTGTCAAGTTTGAGGACAGCCTGGGCTGTATAATGACACCCTGACTCAAAATGAAAAAGCTGTGATCTACATTATACTAGAGTAGCACAACAGACTGGGCCCAACAAAACAGCATTCACTAAGCCTTATAGGTATTTCCATCAGCTGTGATGGCAGCTGACAAACGAGGGCCCAGATTAAGGCCAAAAGCATCTTCCTGTGTCTCACAACTGGACTGGATTGTCCACAAGGCAGATGCCTAAGGTCAGTAGTGGCTCTAGGTAGGTAGTAGTCACCCAGGCCACCAAGTCCTCAGGGACACCTTGGTAAGAAGAGATCCAAACTCCCTGACAGATTCAAATCATATCCCTAAGACAAGCTCCCCGAAACCAGAGGGAGTACCTCAGTTGGCTCCCTCCAGGGCCTCCTGCCCCTACTGCTCCCCAGTCTAGGACTGTCTCCCCTGTCAGAAGGACCCTCAGGGACCCCAGAGAGCTCACTGGCCCCAGCCTGCCTTCTGGACAACCATCAAATGCTCCTCTCCTCCTTAGTTTTATCCATTTCATTAATAATGAAATTAATCCATTTCAACAATAGAACAGGGTATAAAATGAATAGCAATCTGCCTGAAAACCTGTCCAGTCCCCTCCCCCTCAGCCATTTCCACTTATTTATACAACTTTGCATGTCATTTCCCAACCCATACCATGAAATATGGGAGTTCAGGGCTGGAGCGATGGCTCAGCGGTTAAGGGCACTGATTGTTCTTGCAGAGGACCTGGGTTCAATTCCCAGCATTTACGTGGTGGCTGACAACCATCCAAAACTCCAGTTCCAGAGGATCTGACACCTTCTTCTGACCTCCATGGGCATTGTCCCACATGGGTGCACTTACACACATGCAGGCAATACACTCATATGCAAAAAATAATAAAGTATTTAAAAAAAAAAAAGAAATATGGGAGTTCAGCTCACCTTCCTTCCACCTCTCCCCACCTCCAGGTTTCTCCTAGTTACAGGATTATTTTTGGTTCTTCATAAGAAATTTGAGTCAGTATTTGTCAACTTCCTATCAAGTAAGCTGAGGTAATTCACCTGTACCCTGTTCTCTCTCTAGAACTCACTCTCTGGTTCTCCTCTGCCACTTTTCAAATATTGCCAAATAGTACTGATATTCTGGTTAAGTTCTCTCTGCTTCCTCACTGGGAGAAGGCCAACAGCAAGATGGACAGGAAATACACAGAGTGTCAGGAGCAGAAAGACCCTAAGTGTGGTCTTGTTTTGTCTGAGAAGGAGTCTCACTATGTATCCCAGATTGACCTGGAACTTGTGTAGCCCAGCCTGACCACAATCCTCTCCATCCTTCTGCCTCAGCCTCTTGAATGCTGTGGTTGTAGGTGTATACCACTACACCCTGCTTTCTTAAATGATTTTGTGGTCCAGGATTTTTGTTCTTTTAGGAGTTAACCTGGGCCTGATAGGCTATCACATTGTAAAAGGGCTGGGCGGGGAGGGCATTGACATGTCCTGAAGTCCCAGTTATCATACCCACCCCAGCCCTGCCCCTTGTGGACCCAGGGCTCAGAAGGAAAGGAATACAGTCTGTTGCTAGACTTTTGCCCTGGCTTTCACTGCCTTGGTGGGCACGGCGCCTCTGCAAGTGTGCTAGCTCTAGCCCTTGAGTAAATGCTCTGAGACAGGTCTGGCAGCCCAGAGACCGCGTGTGGACCACCAAGGGCTGGAAAGAGGCTTCCATGGTTGCCAGAGGGGAGGCTTTGGTGAGACTTAATCAGCATAAAGCGAGAGCAGGGGCCAGCTTGTATGTTCAGAGAAAGTTGTCTAGCTGAGATAGTTGTGGCAAGACCAGGTGTTCCCTGGGCCTGTTGTCCAACAGGATCATAGAGATTAGCACAGCCTGAAAGTAAAGCCTTCCCAGATACACTCTGGCCTCTTAAGAAAGCTTTGGTTCCCCTACCCCCATCCCCACCCAAGCTCTGCTATCTCAGCTCCTCTTAACCAATCCCCACAGTGCATTCCACTGAGAATACTTCAGAAACCCTGATTCCAAAAACCTGGGTCCCAGGGAGGCCCTGTCACCGCCTGGATGTGTGGCCCCTGAGCCCCACTTCTAAAAGCATCGAAGGGAAGAGGCACACAGACCCCTTGGTAAACAAGAAGAATGTAGAGAATGGTAGACAGATGCTCAGAGACTCTTGAAGCACTTTGGCACACCTGGAATGAAGACTCTGAAGTGTCTTAGCCAAGCCACGCACACAGACCTTGAACCTTAAGGTTTTTTAACCTTTAAAACAGTACATTTAACACAGGAAAATTAAAGATGGAACGTGAATACATGTAAAGCATAGGGCCTACATGTTGGTCATTATTTTTAAGTGAAGAAATGACAAAACCGTGCTGCAAACATAGTTTTAATTTGTAAGTCTTGTCCTAGTGTGCCTGGAGCTACATGCCCAGCCCCTCTGGATCTGAATTAGAGGCTCTGAGAGACTGCAAATCTAAGACCATAAGGTCCTTTCTCGAATGTCCCCATAGTCACTAACTGGCCCCACAGTCACTTGTAAGGACCCTGGTTTATATTAGACTCTAATGGTGGTGAACCTATAGCAGTACCTAGGTACCTAGTCCATGTTCCCATGTGTGTTGCCGTCCCCAGCTACCTGGACAGCCTGGATCGGATTGGAGCCGCCGACTACCAGCCTACCGAGCAGGACATCCTCCGAACCAGGGTCAAAACCACTGGCATTGTAGAAACCCACTTCACATTCAAGAACCTCCACTTCAGGTGAGGCCCAGGGAGACAGTTAGGTCCCAATGAAAGTGGCAGCAGGATGGGGGACATCCATTTGCCACCTCATCTCATCTGGGTAGCCAGGTAGCATCTTACCTCTTCTTCCTGGACAGACAGGGCTTCTGTTTCCATAAGGCCAGGCTGCCCACTCTGCAACTGTGTGCTAACAAGCCCCTTGGATACAGGGGCCCACAGTGTTCTCTTTTCAAGGGGGATTAATGTACAGGGCTGTCCTGGTTCTTCCAGGACCTGTACCACACCTACAGTCTCTTTTCCTTTCCTCTGGGCCCTGGAGCTAGAGTCAGAGTGAGAGGCCAGACATCAGCCTGCTGGGGAAAGGCAGTTTGGGAACAAAGGAGGGAGTCCTAGCTTGCCTACAGGCAGGTCTGGGACAGAGCCTAGCTGTATCATGCTGGATTCTTGCTGGGAGCTTGGGTGTGTCCTTTGTCCCCTGATGCCTCATTTTCCCACCCATAAAATAAGTAACAGTGGCTGCCTACCTCACTTTCATGCTGCTTTGAATTTTTCACAGAGCACATTCTCATGACATCATAGGACATCTCAGAGGCATTTCTTGGGGACCTAGTAAAAATTTCAGGTACAAGAACAAGTCTTGAGTTACTTTACTTTAGCACAGTCCAGTTTTAGGACAGGCGCCAGGGATGGTGATGGCCTCAGGGATGGCAGTGGTCCATCTGTCACCACCCAGAATAAAGGCACTGTGCCTCCACTACTAGACCACCAGGCACCCTCCAACACACACATGCCTGGGCCTCACCCTCACAGCTTCCCTGGCTTCCTGCAGGCTGTTCGACGTTGGAGGCCAGCGATCTGAACGCAAGAAGTGGATCCACTGCTTTGAGGATGTCACGGCTATCATCTTCTGTGTCGCGCTCAGCGGCTATGACCAGGTGCTCCACGAGGATGAAACCACGGTGAGTGACCGTAGGCCCACAAAGGGGCTAAGGTGAAGGCTGGTCACAGAATAGGCCAGCCCTAGGAGTCTTTGCTCACTCACCCATCCATGCAACCAAGACAAATGTCTTATGAGGCCAGTGCAACAGAGGGAGATGGAAGGCCTCCCAAGGCAGAGCTTGTGTGCAAACTCTGCGCAAATAACTTACCAGAATCAGGGTCTTCCACAGTAAGCACCTTGTTAGTGAACAATGGAGTCATAGGGGCTGTTGGACCAGAAAAAAAAAAAAATTAGCAGATCCCAGAAAGTCAGCATGCAACTGAGACAAAAACAGTCGCGTTCATTTCCATAGCCCTTCCCAGGGTACTGGTCAGGCTGCTGGAGCGGTGTGGGACCAGCCGCCAGTAGGGCACAAGGAAAGGCCTGCTGGTGAGTGGTAGGCATGGCTCTCGGCTCCATGTCAAACTCAACTTCAGCCTCTGAGACCTGCCCTGGCTTCAGAGGAGCCGACATCTACAGAGGGTGCGATCTTCCCCCAGCTCTCATCCTGGCTCTGCTGGGCATTGGTTTGAAGCCAAATTCAGGCAGCACCCATTCTGCCTGGGTTTCTATCATCTAAAAAACGGGGACAGTAGAATCACCTGTCTTGTCTAAGGCTGCTGACCATGGACGGGAATAATCTACATGCTGTACTTAGAACCTTATCTGGCTTACTAGTCCCAAGCTGGTGGTCATATTGTTGCTGGCGATTGTCTTGAGCCAGGTGTGTCCACTGAGTGTTTCCCATTGGGGCTGAAGCCCACGCGTCTTTGGGCCTGTCCATGGAGCCTGCAAAGGAATGCAGGCCTCAAGCATGGCCCACGGGGTAATGGGAGAGAAGCCCACTGCTGAAAGTGGGGCTCATGGCTGTGGACTCACACTGTGGCATCTGTCCTCCTATCTGGAATACTATCAGACCCTTCACCCTGAGCCTTTGGGGTCAGCATCAAGGGTCAGAGGAGGGGCCTGTGGTCATGCTGGCCTTGAACAAGGCCTATCTTCCTTATGGGTCTGATTTGCTTCTCAGTCTCATCCCACTCGTCGTACAAGTCTGCTGTGGAGGAAGTGGAATAAGCTTTGGGGTGTATGCTATGAGGGTACAGTGCTGGGAGAGGAGGACCCGCCGTCCTGAAGGGCTCGCACGGTGGTGAGGCTTTGGGCAATTGGAGGCCGAGCTGCTGGTGGGATGAGTAGTCCAGACCCTCACCATGTGTTGCCTGGGTTTTAACTGCTGTCACTCTGTGGCTGTGGCAGGCAGTGGTGTTAAAGAAACAATGGTCTAGTCCTGACTCCCAGTGTGGGTAGGGGAAGATACACTCTGGGTTGCACTTGGACCCTAGAGTCAGTGATCTTCCAAATCCTAGGAAATCCCCTTGGTAGTGTATCTATCAGAGTGACTGCCCCAGCATACCCTTCACTACTGTGGGCTGTCCCTATGCTACTCAAGCTACTGTGCTCTGGTCCTTTGGCCTATCTGGGAGTGGTTGCTACATCCATGGGATTGAAAGAATGAAGGAACTGGAGGCTCAATGATGGGAGACCCTTCTAACCAGATCATGGCCTTTCCTTTGAACCTGCCCTGCCAGAGCCAAGGGCTAGGACCATCAGCCATGAGACCAGGACTCTTAGTAACTTCTAGAACACAGTGTAGATGCAGAGAGATGGCTGAGTAGACCTGGTATTACAAGCACTAAGTTCCATGGCCCTCAGGTCACCAGAGAGGCCGGCCCTGGGGATCATGATGCCCACCCTTCCACCACCACACACACACATGAACTCCTCACCAGCTTTGCTGCTGAGCTGCACTCAAGTGCTGAAGCATTTTCCCTCCAGCGTCCTCCTTACACTCTCCCACCCCAGCTCCTTCTCCATTTCCCTCACCTTTCTCCACAAGGGCTGGAGTCCAGAACCTTGGGGAAGCAAAAGCATATGGGCCAAGGTCAGGAATGGTTTCTTCCTGGGGTAATTCCCTCCCCAGGGCTGGTCACCACAGCCCAAAGAACCAGATCTCCAGGGACTAGGAATTGCCTTCCAACCTGTCGGTATCCCACAGCGTGGCTCATGGTTAAGGTAGCAGCAAAGCAATACTGTTGCTGTGGAACTAGCAGTCATGTGTCAGGGCACATGTGTGCAGAGTTGAACAGCTCGGGAATCATATGGATCCAGCCCGGGGTCTGATGCCACTCCTACCAGTGTGTGCTGTGGGTGGTGATGATGGTAAAGCAACTTTGTGGGCTAAGAGCTTTAAGAGTGTCTGTACAGGAGTCAACTCAGTAAGGGGCAGTTGCTAATCCTCTGTCTAGATGTTGTGGCTAGGGTCAAGGTGGTAGGGCATGAATGCTTGTCCCTAGAGAGGCAGGATGTAGGCACCAATGACCCGGTCCTTGGTCCTCAGCCCTACCCTCTAGCCAACTCTGTACTTCCCTCCCTGGCCTGAGGGGAAGGTTGGGGCTTCTGAGACAAAGCTGTCTGGAGGCAGTTCCCGGAGCTAGGCCAGGAAGGCCCGGCAGCTAGTTGCTGCCGCACACCGGACGAGCCACCCTGCCCGCTGCACCCTGGGACCCCGCGGGCTCATCCTGTCCTCGTACCTGCTCTCAGCGCCACCCAGCCAGGCCACAGGCTGCCACAACTTCTCCATCACTTCCGTCACCAGCGCCTGCAGGGCCTTTTCTTACCAAAGCAAGGCCAAAACCAAGGGCAGATTCTGAGAGACCCTCCAAGCCCAGCAGGTATGAAGCACTTCCCTCCGATCAAACATTAGCTAAGAGTTGAAAGCAGCAGGTTCTCAGGGCCCCGCTGGGTGACTTTGCTGTGAATGCCCACCCCAGGACTCACTCCACACTGGCTGCTGAGCCGAGGCTGTGCTCCCCACCCAGCCTTCCATCCCAGCCATAGAGTCCCCATCATAAGGTGGCCTTGGCGTCTGTGGCATGTGCAGCACCTTACACAGCTGCCTTGGCTCTGAGACAGGTCAAATCGATCGTTTCAGAGTTTCTCTTCTTCTTTCTCTTGTTTGCTGCTGGGTTTTTAGCTTCCTCTCAGTTTTAATCTGTTTTGCTGGGTTTCTTCTTGGGGTTCTCCTGATCCCTCTTCTGAGAAACTAGCCCCAATTCCCAATTCTTCGAGAGCCTCCCTCTGCCCAGCCATGGCCCAGCCAACCAACAAAGTCACCCAACCAACCAAGGCCACAGCAACATCACCCCTGAGATGCTGTCCCCCTGGTGTCTGCTTCCAACTCGGGATTAATTCGAGGATGTTAGTCCTCGGTTAATGTTATCAACTGAATGCGTGCACCCTCCCAACCTCGCTGGTGAAAATGAATGAGACCCTGGTAGAGAAATCTGCATGACCCGCGGTTCCGTGTAGAACTGTTTGATGGTGGTTGCGGCCCCACCCTCTACGTGCATGGTGCATGTCCTCTCCAGGGACTGCGGCCTCTGCAGTCAGTGACCTCACTGCCCCACCCAGGCCAGCTCCCTCTGGAAGGAGGCAGCATTCCCCACCCACCCCAGCTCCACCCCACCCTGCCTGTGTGTGGAATGAAGCAGGGACATGTCCTGTTTGTCCTTGTGGGCCCTCTGTCTCTGTCCCTGGTGGTGCAATCAGAGCATTGGTGGCCCATCCCTCTGCTTGTCCCGCTATGTCATGGCTGCGGTGGGTCAGGGTGCAGGGCACTGCCAGTCCTCACCTGTCTCTCCACTCTGTTGCAGAACCGCATGCATGAATCCCTGAAGCTTTTTGACAGCATCTGCAACAACAAGTGGTTCACAGACACGTCCATCATCCTGTTTCTCAACAAGAAGGACATATTTGAAGAGAAGATCAAGAAGTCTCCACTGACCATCTGCTTTCCTGAGTACACAGGTAAAGACCTTCTCCAACCCACACAGTGCCTTGAAACCACAGGGCAGCCAAGGGAGCAGGTCCATTTGCCTTCACTGTACTTGGATGTACCTGGCTACCCAGTAAAATCCACCTCCAAAAGCCTACACTAAAACCAGCTATGACAAGGCACCCTGAGCCACTTGGGGCTAGAGCCCTGGCTTGCCACATCTCCATCTCACCATGTGATCTTAACCTTAGGGAGCCCAAGTTGCTCATTTGTAAATGAAGGAAGCATGCGTAGTGGGAACCCCAAGATGACAAAAGGTCAGCGAGCCCAGACTTGGAGTCAGGTAGCCCAGCAGGGTCCAGCCCCAGCTTAGCCACTGGAGAGGGGACTGGGTAGGTCACATGACCTGTCCAGCTTGGTTTCTTCATCTGTGCGATGGGGACTGTCACTGTGGTTATCTTCCCTCCCTTGCAGATTTACTACAAGGGTGAAAGGCAGAGCATCACTCATTAGAAGTTCGTGCTAACTCCAAGTTTGCTCTCACTGCTGTGATCATGCTGATGATAAACAGCCATCCTAACAGCACTTCCCACAGGAGTGGCCACAAGATTGACATAGAGCATTGTCTGGCAGAGCCCAGCAAACAGCAGGACTTGCCTATCCTGTAGAAAGTGCAGGGACAAGAGGCCAGCTCTCAGTGCTGCCAGGTCTGAGCTGGACTGACCAGGATCGCCGAGGACCTGCAGGACTGGCAGCCCAATCAGGTGGGCTCTAGCAGGCCCAGGATAAATCAGCTCTCTCAGATTGCCAAGTCCTGCCCAGAGGCAAGACAAGCGTAGTCGCAGCCTGGCCAGCCCCTGGGCATAGAGGACACGGCAAAGCAGACAGATCCTGGCAGAGGTGGCTCTTGGGATATGGTCTGTAGTCAGGCAAGCAGCACAGCTCTCTGTGTCCTGCCCTTCTTACCCTGGTTCTCAAAATCAGGCTGGTGGTCCTGTAGGCAAAGACCCTGAGCAGCCAGCTAAGGAGGGCAGGGCTCATGTTCTCTAACCCACCAGCCACATGCTTCTCCAGCCATAAGCTAGGGGCCTGTGGGATTGGAGAGATGGCTCAGAGATAAAGAGCACTTGCTCCTCTTCCAGAACACCCAGTTTCATTTCTCAGCACCCACAGGGTGGCTCACAATTATCTGTAATTGCAGTTCCAGAGGTTCCAACACCCTCTTCTGGCCTCTGCAGGCAGTGCACACATGTGGTATGTAGACAGAACACTCATACACATAAAATAAGAATAAATAAATCAGAAAATTTTTTAAAGATAAGATCCTGTGAGATGCTCTGGTAGGCTGGTTACCAAGACCGGTTTAGAACTGGACCAAGGCAGGAAGGGACCCCTAGCTAGGGGAAGCTGCTGAAGTTTCCTACTGTCTCAGAACACTCCTCTCACCCCCAGCCCTTTAGCCAACACTTATGGCCTGGTAGACAAGGCCAGGCCTTAGCCAACACTTATGGCCTGGTAAACAAGGCCAGGCCTATGGCCTACACCCATAAGCCTGAAATGACTGGGCCTCCTTCCTCAGATATGGCACCCCAACTTGGCACTATGGCTCAGATTCTAGTTTCTCCTCCTGCCCCTCCCTTACCAAGTGGTCCTAGGCTGGTCTGTGCCAAGCCTGGATTCATGGAAGCTATGGGGTTTCAACACAAAACCAAGATCCTGCTCTTTTGCTCTTCCCCAAGCCAGTACCTTCTCCCAGACATCCTCCCCTGGGCTCACTCAGGAACCAGACCAGTGTGGAAGACAGCAAATGAATGTTTCAATTCTGTCTTCCTGAGAGGGGTCAGGAGAAGGAAAACGAAACCACAGCGGCTCACAGATGCAGACAAACCACGTGGTCCTCTTCCCTTACCAGCAGTGCCAGGTAGGCAGGTCCTGGCCTACTCTGCAGAGTTACAGGCACATAGATAGGGTATACCTGTGTAAAAGAAGTGTTTCAGACCCCTATGTGCAGCTCGTGGTAAGACAAAGATTTTGCATTTGGGATCAGTAGGTGTGTAAGAAAACAGCAGTTCCCTAGGGCAGCTTTCACTCGTGCAGGTGCTCACTGGGATACCTCATGTTTTATTGTCCTTTAAGAAAATCTCTGCCCTAGATTTCAACCACTGGTTGGATCTCAGGAGCCAGTGTTGCTGAGAGTTGAGCCTTCAGGCTTCCCTCCCTTATGCTTGTTGCTTTATGGTGATACTAAGATGCTCTTGGCACCTGCGCCCCGCCCCCAATAGCCAGGCCCTGGGGGCCCCATGCTGAGTAGCCCAGGGGGCTTCTTTCACTTACCCATGCTGTTTTATCTTGCAGGTCCCAGTGCCTTCACAGAAGCAGTGGCTTATATCCAAGGGCAGTATGAGAGCAAGAACAAGTCAGCCCACAAGGAGATCTACACCCACGTCACCTGTGCCACAGACACCAACAACATCCAGTTTGTCTTTGATGCAGTGACGGACGTCATCATCGCCAAAAACCTCCGGGGTTGTGGACTCTACTGAGCCCTGGCCTCCTGCCCAGCCGCTCACACCCTGCCCAGCCCATAGCCCACTCCTCCCCTGGACCTAGAGCTCTGCCACCATTCAGATGCTTTGTGCACTGGAGGAAAACCCAGAGCCTGGGTCTGGGGGCGAGGAGGAGGCATCCTTCAAGCATCCCCACCCCACCCCACTCCAACTGCAGGACACGTGGTAACGGGGTCGGGCAGAGGTACTGAGTGCCACACACCATAAGGCCAGAGACCCCTGCGTACCACCTGGGTGCCGCTCACTGGTTTGCTATGTCTCTAAGTGTTTTACTCAGAGACTGAGTGGCAGGAGTAGACAAATCTACCATGTGGTCCAGAATGGGTATGACCTATACTCCATGCCTCATACTCAAAAGTCCCAGTATCTCCTGTCATCTGGGGTGATACAGGTGGCTGGTAGGATGGCCTATGGGAGGATGCTGGCTGATTAGGGGGTAGTAGACAGCCATCCCTCAGCTTTTGTTTGGGGTCTCTTTGGTGGAGGGCAGTTCCGTCGCCAAAAGCCAGGGTGGAACTAGGCCACTTTGTGGGGTGTAAAGGCTGGGGCTTCTGGGAGAGCCGCCCTCCTCCCTCATCTTGAATCTTGGTCCTTCTTTGGTCATCTTCCCCTCACTCCTTGGACTCCCCAGGAAACTCAGCTCTGACCTCCCTAGGCCTGAAATGGTCCTGAGACTGGCTGGCTGCAAAGGTAGATGAGAGAATGAGCTCTGCATCTGCAGAAGTTAGATGGGTAGGGAAGCTGTGGGAAATGGGTGGCTCTCTGCATGGGCTGGGGCCTCCCACTCCTTGCCACAGGTGCTGACAGAGCCGTCTGCTGTGTCCACTCACATGGGCTCATCTGCCCCAGGTATAGTATACATGCTCTTCTCCAAGTCACAGTAACTCCAGCCAGCCAGAGCAGGCAGAGACACTGGGCTAGTTCTTTAGGCAGAAGCACAGGAGAGCTACGAGCCAGTCCGTACTCTGCTTTACTCCATCTTTGTCAAGAAGTCAGGAAGCCTGTGGTGACCCCTGGCCTCCTCAGGAAGTTAGGTGGTAGGTCAGTACCCTGGAGTGTGACTCAGGAGGGGCTCTGGCCAGCTCAGACTCACCCTACTCCCAGGGAGAGAGACTTAGGACCCCTAGGAGGGGCCTTTGCTTCAGAGCTCCCTGAGCAAAAGGGGGTAGGATAGTTTTGGTGACTGTGACCTTGGCTGAGTTTGGACAGTCAGCACACCTCCCTCAATCCTAGGCATCTCCAGTACACAGGTCTGTATGGTCATGTGGCAAGCTGTGCCTAGGGCCTACTGCCTACTGAGGGCAGTAGGAAGAAGTCAGCCCCCCAGAGGGGTCTCTGTTCCCCTCCAACCCTGGCCTCTACTTTGAACACTGCTCAGTCCCATGCCAGGCAGGACCTCTGTCCTGCCAAGAAACAAAAGAACCCCTTGCAACAGCTCTGGGCTTGTTAGTTGCAATAAGCACAGAGTTCTGAATGGCACAGGGAGACATAGGGACCTTCCCCAGTGCCAAATGCTTGCAGGGATGGTACCTCTGGGTAGCCCACCCCAGTCAGGCTGCCTTGCTGCTGCCCCCTCAACCCAGGTCCACTTCCATTTTATACACCTCCATCATTTTAGGACCTTGTGTTAGGAGGTAGCAGAGAGAGGCTCTTGAAGCCTACAGTCTCAGTGTCCTGCTGTAAACAGCTAAGGCCAGCTAAGTCATTGGCCCAATATTGAAGATACAGCAGTTATTTCCCAGCATCACCAGCTGGATGTGGCCACTACTGTGGCTCTGCTGCTCAAGACTGCAACCCAAGCTTCAAAAATGCCTGAAATCAAGGGTCTTTGGCCAAGCCCCATCTCTGAGGCCATTGCCAGAGAGGTAGAAGTCACCATCCCTATCACCCTGGAATTCTCACACCCTGAGACCCCCCCGCCTCAAGTCACTGCAGCACAGTAGCCAGAGCCCTGGCTAGAGTTGGGGCCTAGACCCAACCCTCCCCACTCCTGTCCCCCAGGCTGCTTTCTCTTACCTACTCTGTACTGTCTAGTGTCTTGCACTGCTTTCAACTCTCCCACCCCAGCCTGCCAAGGGAGGGAGGTCTTACACTGTCTTCTGTAAACCCCCAAGAACATTGTCCAATGGGAAGAGTGTCCCCTGTGTACCCTGTCTCCTATCCATGTCATCACCAGCAGCTCCACCATAGGGAGACAACTGAGGGTGACAGACACAAGTCTTGGCTCCGTCGTGGCTATGGGTATGGGAGGAGACGTGTTCTGAGTGACCAGACCAGTCTTATCTACAGTGGCCCTGTGTCCCCAGAGAGGTCATACTGCATTCTCTGAATGGCTCTAACTCAGCAGGCCAGGGGGAGCTGATTTCCAGGAAGCCTGCCTTCACCATATTTATGGAACCATGCCTATCACCTAGATGCCCATGGACAGTCCTGTGCCCTGTGCCAATGGCCATCCCAAGAAGCTGCCCTTTGAACATAGGTAGAGACCCCCAAGGCTCTGGTCTGCTATTGGACTCTGGCTTGGGAATTCATGTGGAATTTCCCAGCCTGTGCCACTGACCTGTAGTTCCTGCCTTCTCTTTCCCATGACCAACCCTAGATCCTTTCTGACCCCGTTGGCTCAGGCAGAAAATCCCCAGTCTTTCAACCCAGGCCCATATCCTGCTGGTGGGAACTGGAGGCACTGACCTGAATGGACTGCACTGGATATCACTGAGTATCCTCGGAAACAGACAGTCCTCTTCCTAGCTCCATAACCCAACTATCTACAGGGCTCCCCTCCAGGGAAGATTGGCTATGATTCGTTCAGGCCTTTGCTTGCTCCCATGGCGTCTACGTACTGGATGCCACAGCCAGTGCCCTGGGGCAAGCTAAACCTTACCCTTAGCCCTCCATCTGACCCGCCTTCTTGACAAGGAAATTCAGCCCACCCGGGAAGGAATCTCATGAGGCCTCCATTTCTTCCCTCTTGACCAAATAGTAGCCTACCGGCCCTTTCTGAGGGTCCTGGGGCACGGAGCCTTTTCTGGCTGCCTCTACTCTCCTCTGAGCCTTTTGGGATTCTCCAGGCACAGCCCCGCAACTCTCAAGAACTCAGACCTGAGACTTCAGCTCCATGGTCACCAGAGATGAATTCTGGGGTACCAGAGGCAAGCATCTACCAGGCTGTTGTCCCTGTCAGGCTACATACAGAATGAAGATCCCAGCATCCCAAACAGGACCAGGGTATGAACATCTCATTCTCCTCATCCTCTACCCTCAGCAAGGTAAGCCCTGTACCCACCAGAGTGGGGCAGGGGCGCACAGACAGATCCCCCCCCCCATGCCAAATGATGGCCCTGTCAAGGGAGCAGGTAGGGGAAAACCAAAAAGAATGGGCCCCATCCAAAGTTTTGGGCCCTCTGGTCAGGGCAGGGTACCTGTTGAAGGGCCGTTTTCTTCTCCCTAGGCCCTAGCACAAAAGTCCACCAGCAGAAATGGCCCTTCCCAACAGCTCTCAGGCCCTGCTCCCCACCCCCTTCCCCTTAGCAACCTGCACCAGCCACAGCATGGGCAGCAGCCCTCTACTTCCTGGTCTCCCCACAGCTTCTGTCTTTCCTATCACCTGTTGTGTATGTTGTAGTCCCGGGCCAGGATCCAGGCACCCCATACTCCCCTTAGCAGAACCTTCTTAGGTACAGTGCTCCCACCTCCTGAACTATCGCCACCATCTACCCTAATTAACTGTAATTTTGTAAGAAGAGTGACTTGCCTCTTTAATAAATATCTAGTTATTGTAATAATTTATTGGCTGCCATAATGTATTTATTAGTCATCCACTATTAATAAAACGTGCCAGCTCTTTCTAGCATGAGTGTGATGTGTTGTGTCAGTCAGTGCTGAAGAGCCTCTGCCAGGTGTACTCATGTGGCATGTGTTCTTACCCTGCCTAGTCTCAGGACTAGCAGCCTGGCAGAGTGGGCATAGCCCTGCCAGGGGCAGAATTCAGGCCCCTGGCCACTCTGCCCACCCCAGGCTTACCGGGAGGCAGAGGAAGATTTGTCCTGAGCTGAGCTGCCTCCCAGGCCCAGGGTCTTAGCATCCTGGTGTCCCAAGATTCCTAGGACCCACAGTGAACATGCTTGTGCTGCACAGCTGGGCACTGGCCATTCTGAGATGGCTTTCCTGCTGTTCTCTGCTCTGCTGCAGCCTGGGTAGGTGGAGGACTTGGGGAAGTTGAGCTTAGGGAGGACTCCAGTGGCTCCGTGCGAAGGCAATAGCAGGCTGTTGGCCATCTGTGACCCTTGACCTCTCCTCAAATGTTGACATCTGATTTACATGTACCTGACCTCTATTTCCTCCTTTGAATATAAGCTGTGCTCTGGGCCTGTTGGTACCCGGCTCCTGTGGGATGGCAGTCAGGCTGGGCATGGAAGGAGGGAGGTCTCGGTACCGGCGTTCCCTGACCAGCAGCTCCCGCCTCACTGCCTCTCAGGGTTTCTAGGGTCAGCCCTTCTTTCCGGGCTCAATATGCCCTGTCCCCACAGAGCAAGTCTGTATACATTTTCTGCCCCCTAGACCCTCTGCCCCTCTCTGTTGCTCCCAGGACCTCAGATCATGTTCATGTGTGTATTTTGTCACTGCCCCACTAGATTGTGAGCTCTCAGAGGACAGGCTCCTGTCCTGGTCACCCTATATCCCTGCAGCAGCTCATCCAAGGGCCTTGCACAGCACCTCTTCGGGTGTCAATATTCACTGAAGAGACAGGGAGTGCATGCTCTACGGCTCTGCGGCCCTGCAGGATGGGGGACAGGATGTGTGGGATGAGCCTCAGCAGATGGGGGACAGAGGAACTATCTGGAGTGAGCTACTCTGGCGTCTCCAAAGCTAAGAATGGGGACCTTCAACCCTGCCTACATGGTAGGTGGCTCCCATTCTTAACTTGGACAACTCTGCTGACCTCTCTATGGTTTCTTTCCGGTCCTGGGAGTTCCAGATGCCCACTCTCTGTCTGCGAACATCAGTAGACCGAGTAGCATTTGGGACACGGAGTTGAAAACTTGCTTCTCTGGCTGTGGTTCTACATTGACAGCTGTAGGACATGATGCCTCTGTGGGGTGGGATACCTTGAAGTCTCAGAGCTACACCACTAGGCTCACATCGGTTGCCTGAGTGTCACAGTGCTGGGCCCTGAACATAGGTCCACTTAGCTCTTGGGAGAACTCTGCTTGCCTGAACAGACTCCACCAAGACCACACAGGCAAGTGAGTCCTGTGCTCCCCTTGAAAGAGACCATGCAAAAAACAGGAAAACTCCGAAGGGAATGAGAATGAAGGTCACTGGGTTTGTTTAGCAGACTCAAAGGTCAGCCATTCACGACGATCCAAGGGGCCACCAAATCCTTCCTGTTGCCCAGAGGACCTTGGGAGCAGCGAAGAACTCAAGCTGTATACCCCACCCTGCCATCAGCCCTAAGAACAGGGCTCACAGGCCCAGGGAAACTAATGCAGCCTGGGAGAGTGAATGTGTAGAGCCAAATACACCAATTTCTTCCTTGAAAGACCCAGATTGCCACACTGACTGGAAAATCACTTGGCCTAAGTTCTGGGTGGGGCTTAAGGCTTAGGCCCCAGTAGAAGCCTCTGCTGGCTTTTTTGTCTTTGTTTCCTTGCAGTGCTGGGGATGGGACCCAGGACCTCAGGCATGCTAGTCAAGTGCTCCACTAACACCCCAGGGCTAGACTTTGCTCTTTAGGGTCCCAGCTTTGTCACCTCATTGTCCCCTAAGGATTGATGAGACTAAATGACACCAGGCAGGTGGAATGTTGGGCACAGTGCTGGCACAGGGTGGGTCTCAGTGACCAGTAGTGGTCACCCCATCGTCTTCCTTTGCCTTTTGCTCAGACAGGAAAGCGACATGACTGCTAAGCCAGCAGTTCCCTCAACTCCTACTGCTTGGTCAGCCCTGGGCAATGAGTTAATCTCAGCGAGTGTCCCCCAACATCCATACGCACTCACTGTGCTCTCTGTCTGTTACTTGTCTCGGCTTTATCTTCCAGGGAGCTCTAGCGTGAATGTCTCAGAGCTTGGGTTCAGACCCCAGGAGTCAGGTTTGTGCTGACCAGATTCCCAGGACTATGACAGGCTGTTTGGGACAAGAAGAGACACTATCTCTTCCCACACCGCCCTGTGCAGAAAGAGGTTCACGCACAGAGAAACATGCTTCTCTGTGCAGTAAGGAAACAGGCCAGTGTTCTTGGCTTGCTGAAGCAGAACTGACCCTTGCCTGGGGCCATCCTCCTAAGATTCAGACTATTCAGTGTGACTCAGGCTCCTTTCAGTGTGCCCATTATATTTGGCCATTTGCTAAACAAACTTCTGTGTACAAGATAGCACTTCACATCTGCTCTGTTTAGGACCTTGCAGGGCTGGCTGTAGCTGGTTTAGGACTAGTAGAAAGAGGAATATCCCCTTCCTGCCCCTACACTCCTAGAAATGGTCTGCACATACTCTTTGAATGGTGGCTCCCAAGGATGCCTACAGGACCTGGTGTGGCCCCTGTCACCACACAGGAGAGGCTTAATTGGGCTGAGGAAGGCAAAATCAAGTCACAAAGAGAATTCCCAGCTCCTTGCTTCCAGTCCAGCACCATGTGTGCATACGTGCACTCAGTTCTAGAGAAACCACCACATGGCTAGGGGCCCTGCATAATGAAGGTCCTGAGTCCCCTGACCTCAGTATCACTGAGAGAGCCACAGCTGGTTCCCAGGCAATTCTCCCATTGGCCTGAGATGGTGGGTGCTTGATACACTGGAATCCTGCACTGTGGTGCATTCCTAGCCTGTAAGCTTTATCTCTCGACCTCTTGAAGGAGCCTAGGGCCAAGGGCCTCCTGGGTGCTGAACAGCCCAGTCTCTCCTCACACCTAATTCTCTTCTCTTCCCTGTCTCTGTGTCTCCCTCTGTCTGCCTTGCTCTCTCCCATCCCCAACGGGGCTGCAGAACCGCATGCACGAGTCTCTCATGCTCTTCGACTCCATCTGTAACAACAAGTTTTTCATCGATACCTCCATCATTCTCTTCCTCAACAAGAAAGACCTCTTTGGTGAGAAGATTAAGAAGTCACCCTTGACCATCTGCTTTCCCGAATACCCAGGTGAGTGTTATTATGGCCCTGGGTGGGGACCTGGATCTCCCCCTCTGAAGGGCACCAGTGGAGTCCCACAGCCTGTAGGCTCTGAAAACAGGTTGCTGGACCAGCACTGCCCAGACCAGCTAGAGAGCAGGGGCCAGGAGAGGCATCTGCCGGGGATACAGAAAGAGGCACAGAGACATGACCAGGTGTGGACGTGACCCTGCAATTAGTAAGCAGTAGCCTTTCCTGAGCCATCAGTATCATGGCAGATAACTCAAGAGTGTGGCATGGTGGGAATAGGACCACAGGTGTACATTTCCTCACAGTGGCCCAGGAGAGCTACCATTTCATGAAATGGAAAAGGTGGACTGGTGGCCTATGATTGTGGCCCAGGCACCTGAGCTCACCAGGTTTGTGCTTTGGGCATGCTGTATACATTGCAGGTGGCCTTGACCCAGACCTTCCAGAACCCTGTGCCTTCCTGGTCTCCCATCCCATGGAGGTGACTGTTTTCCCCTCCTCCTCCTTCTGGTCTTTTCGTTAGATCAAGCCGCTCTATGTGTAGCAAATTCCTCCACCCTATGCCCCTTTCTTCTGCCTTTGCTGGGCCTTTTTTTTTTTTTAAAAAAAAACCTTTGGTTCTTGGGGGACTGGATCACAGACAACTCCAGCCTTTCCACTCCCTCTCTACCCCCTCGCCAGTGAATCTCCTTCCAAATGGCCTCATGAGGGAAAGGCTAGAGGTAGGGTTGACACCATGCCAGAGCCCAGCCCTCTAGAAGAAACTGGGTAGTTCTAGGGATCCCCGGGGCAGAGTCATACTAGAGACAGAACAGGCACCCTACAGTGAAGGAGGATGTGTCCTGTCCTCCAGGTAAGGGCTCAGGTTGACTGGGCCCAGGCATTAACCTGTTGCACTGGACTAGGTTCTAGGGCCACAGAGGTCCCCAAACTCAGCCAAAGGGATCCTGAACTCCAGCACGGATGGATGCTGGTCTGTCCCAGCCTCTTCAGTACCAGGAATAACAGTGTGAAGGGCAGGGCCCAGCAGCTTGTACCGAGATGCTCTGTGTTGCTTGTGAATTGCAAGGTGCCTGCCCATCCCAGGTGCCGGGGGGTGGGGGATGGGGGAGAAGGAACCCATTACTTAATCCCTTACACACCATTTTTAGCTGGATGCCATAGCAGCCTATAATGGTACCTCACAGAGTGTCTAGGGGGATGGGAAGAGACTGCTGCTTGGCACTAGGTCTGTGTAAATGCCAGCCTTTGCTGTCATAGCATTGAGAGGCTGGAAAGCACCACAGAAGGAGCTGGCCACCAAGGAGGGGTCCTCTGCAGAAGGAACAAGCACAGAAGGATCCATGACAGGCCTCAAAAGGCCAAGGAGGCCCTGCTTATAGGTATAGCCAGGCTACAGTCCATCCTTTGGGCAGTCAGTAAAAGCTTCCCAATTCCCAGGGCTGTAGAAAATTGTAGTCATGTGATGGGACCCAACAGCCAGTTACAGCAGGCCCACTCAGGCCAGGGCCACCCTTGGGAGCAGGCTCAGTCTTAAGGCTCAGTCTTGTCCAATGGAACTTCATTGGGATTGTGACCTGAGTAGTGGGTCTCACTGTTGTGTAGTAGGTGCTCGATGCCCCCAGTTCTCCAGGGCCTGCAGAGGATCCAATCTGAGTTCAAAATGAAGGGCAATAAATACCATGGGGCTGAAGAGATGGCTCAGTGGTCAAGAGCACTGGCTGCTCTTGCAGAGGACAGAGGTTCAGTTCATAGCACTCACATGGCAGCTAACAACTACCTGTTAACTTCAGTTCCAGGGGATCTGAGGCCCTCTTCTGGCCTCCACAGGCATTGCACACATGATGCACTTATATACATGCAGGCAAAATACTCATACACACAAAATAAAAATAAATTTTAAAGAATGTTAAGTCATCAGTATTATGACTCCATGGGATACAAGCTTATGAGGACTTAGAATTAAGTGAGCGAGGTCGAGATGAGAGGGAGGTGGATGTCTCAGGGACTCGGTGGGCCACTGTGCTGGGCAGCAGTGGGGCTATGTAAGGACACCTGGCTCAGAAGATGAGGCATAGTAGGGTAGCCGCTATATCTGCATGGTGCATCCTACCACAGCCTATACCGCCATCTTGGCCCTCTCTGGACGCTCCTTCACAGGGCCCATGTCCACCAGTCTATCTGGTCTCTGGTGGTGTTGTTGTGGCTTGGCACCCGTGTGTTTCAGCTCTCAGTGGCTCTGTGGTGGAGAAGGCTAACCCTGACCCCACCCCAGGGGTGCTCTACCCCCTCAGCCTTCACAGTGCCTTATCATCACCCTGAAATCCAGACCTGGAGCTGTCTTTTGATTGTTTTTGAATGAAAGAAGTCCTCACTGGCCATGTCTCCATGGCCCACACCCCAGCCACCCTGTCCTCACACCTTCAACCTAGAGAGTGGGGACGTAGGGGAATCATTCCACTCCCCCAGAATAACATACTAGGCCATATCCTAACAGATTAAGGAAAGTGGGACATCTTCCTTGTTCTAGGCTTTTCCATGCTTTTGCATTAGTCCA